CATGAATCAACATCTACTTCATATTTTTGTGATGTTTCTTCAGCAATTTCTTTTTCCGTTATATTTTCAGTCAATGGAGCATCTTTAGATTCTGCGATCTGATATTTTATATTTTTTATTATTCTATTATGTAGAATAATGGGTATATAATTATATGATTAATATTACCTGCCACAATAATTTTTCTTTCCTTTTTGATAATTCACTGAGCGCTTGCTTGATATCAGGAGCCATGGCTGGATTAATCTTCAACTCAAGTTCTAATTCTGAATTCTCACACTCTATGATGTTCACGATCTGAAGACAATTTTCATTCATTCGCTATTACTCTTGTATGTACATAATAAATGATTTTTAATATATTTTTTTTAACTTACATCATTCATATTTGCGATAAGAAGTTTCGAATATATTTGATTATCAGCATTCTCCGAAACAGACAAAAACGTTGTTGGGGGTCGAACAGCAGATTTCACGGGCGTTGTAAACAAAGAATTCTTTTCACGTCGCATCAAACATAGATTGACTGTTTCGCCCAAATTAAATAACCTGCGTGTAATCTCAACCACACTAAAAGATATATAAAATAATTAAAATATTTTCATAAACATTTCTTCATGTGATATGTATTTATTATAATTTTAAACAAAATTACCTCTTCAAATCATTTTTGTGAAGATATTCATCACAAATCGGACATTTGTAATTGCCTGTTTCTTGACAATAACGTAAATAACGGAGAATACAAGGCCAACAATAAACATGACCACAGCGAGTCATTTTGCCTGCGACTGGTGGATGTAAACAAATAGGACAGGAGAGATTTTCTGAATTGTGTAATATCTGTAATAAATTAAATCAGATTTAATTTACTCGTATATCAATATGTATGAGTCTCTTGCAAGAAACTTTGCAACAATTGCTGATTTGTAATTAAAAAACACTTACAATTTGTTCAATCGATTTCCAATCCACGAGAATATCTGGGTTAGTCAAATGCAAGGAGTAATCTCTACTTGCAGTCACAACAAATTGGCAACTAGCAATATATATAAAAATATATAAAAGTATATCATTTTTAAGTTTTACAAAATAATTTTTATATATTTATTGTTAATATCAAATATATAATTTTTATTACGTGAATATTTCGACATTCAATTGCATGACTAAAAAATCAAGTCATAATTTCGAATTTCGAAATTCTGTCCGAAAAATGTTAAATAAAATGTAACGTAATATGTGAGTTCTACATAAAATAATTCTACTGAGCAACTTTACTGTCCGAGAAACATTTCCACATAAATAAGATAAAATAAATTTATAAAAAATCTTATGCATATAGTTTTTATACATTATATAAACTGGCTACTCTATTAACTTTAAGTAAAGATAAGAAAATGTGACTTTGATCTAGATAATATCTGTGAATTTATATGAATAAGATGGGTATCAGGAGAATAGAAAGCACCCATTTATATTGTATAATTACTACCTAGCTTGTACAAATTGTTCCTTGTTGTATTTATGTCGCTGCACTGGTGGCAGCAATCTATTACTGTTGGAATTATGTCTCCCTACATCCCTGTTTTGTGCATCTCGCATCACATATCGTTCGTAGTGAAAATTCAGCAAATGATTGCCGTTCTTTTTGCTTCTTTGAACCAATACTGAGCCATACTCAGGCATCTTCTCCTCCACTACCTATAGATATAAAAATTATATAAAATGTGGTAATAAACTAAAAAAAAAGGAGCATAATTCAAATGTTGACTCAACCTTGGAATTCTCCTCTGTACCGCCATGATATTGTCCTTTAGGTCTCTGTCTCTTAACAAGATCTTTTGCTTTCTGTACATTGTACCTTGTCGGCTGTACATCATCAGGGACGTTATTGGCGCCAGCAAGTTCTCTTCTGCGCAAAGTTCCCAGATGGAGCTCATTATTGATACCTGAAAGGGTACACATCACAGTGAAAAAGTACACAAGATGCCAAAAGATACTAATAACAGCTTGTTTATTCAAATTAAGGTTCTCTGAGCAAGTGACCTTGAAGATACCTTTGTTCTTTCTGGCATCAGCAGTAGTCCCCCTCGCAGGGGACAGCGTGAATTTTGACTTTATATCCATTTGCGAATCGACTGTAGTCAGTCTGATAACTCGCCTCGTTGCAGCTGCAGTCTCCTCCGTCTCCTCTCCTCGGAGAAACGATATTTTTGCGCGCACCCTTCATCTTCTTCAATAAGCCATGTTTCGTCAGTGCCAAAGTAGTAAAATGTGTCTTGATGTGACGACGGTCGGCAGTTGATGCGGTGCTGCACAGGGATGACGCGAACAGCGATGAGCGAAACGCTCGTTCTCCAGGGAGCAGTCGGCCTCCCCTTTCGTCGCGGGCGACGATCTCAGGCCCTTAACCTTTAATGACGGTCACGACTCCGTGGTCACGACCCAAATGGCGAACGTAACCGTTCGCGGAAACGGAAGTGCTGATGTTGTGTACGGTGCCACGACCGCTCGATAACTCACATGATTCGACCATCATATTCGCTATAAATCCGTCGTTTAAATCCGTCGAAAATTCGAGATTTTCGATTTATAAGTTATTTTGCCTTCTTCAATTATAAACGGTTGTATCTATCGGGATGTTATGATAATCTTGAACTTTGGAGTTGGTTTGACTTCAGTTGAACGCGTTCAAGGTAGAATAGAGAGATTACGTCGCTGAAAAAAACTATCGAGCGAACGATAACAAAAAGAGTCAAATGTGTTTATTTTCTTGTCGAGAGCGTCAAGCAGTTTTGAAATATATATCGCTTCTATATGAAGTAATATTTTATATATTTTAATGAGTATTATATAATTATAAAATCGTTAAATATTATTTAATTAATATTAATTAATACTTTCAACTCTTGTATGTGTTCCGCAATTCAGAATGATATTATTATTCAAGCGTGTCGATTGTCGATCATAATCATCGAATAAAAAAACATCCTAAGGTGCATTCCACTTATGCAATGTTTATGAAATAATTTTTGCCGTACTCATAATCAAACCTTGTACTTAAGGCTTCCTTAAATTTATCTTTAGATGTTCAGCAACTAATGAAATAATTCGTGGAGTATCTAAAAATAAATTTAAGGAAGCCTTAAATATAAGATCTGACTATGAATACGAGTTTATCTTTATTACTTATCAAATATTAAACAAGGATATAATGCTCGCTATCAAATGGAACGCACTTAATTGTCTACATCATTGTTTACGTGCATTTGATACACGTACAAACTAATAATTTTCTATTAAATAATTTTAATTTCAGCGATGTATTCAAAGAATAATGTACTAAATTGGTATAACATGCATCAAAATGATTAAGTATACTTATCGTGGGTCATCAATGCCAGTCAGCTTAAGGTTTGTTCGCATGTTCCAACATGTTTCATCCAGTCAGAAATGATAATGGAATTGACATCGAGTCGATGTCGATTTCATTATCATTTCTGATTGGGAATGTGTTCCTACAACTCCTATTCATTTTATCAAGCGCATTGGAGTAAGAACTACGGTAGGAGCATATTACACATGTTGGAGCATGTGACGCGAACAAACCTTTAATCTAATCGATCGTTGATTGACCAATCGAGTTTGCTGTTTAGTAGAATCGACCAATTGCGATTGACAGTTAATCACAATTAAGTTTGATCGTTGGTGAAACGATCCTAAAAATCACCGAAATCATCGAAATTAGGATCATTCAATAGAAAGTTACTAATTAGTCGATATCAAGTGCACGATGTAAATTAAGTCATAAGATCTATTTTTTACTGCTACTTTACTTACTTTCTGAACTGGTACACATAGTGTAATAAGTTGAAGTGAAACAAATATACGTTTGTTTCACTTTAACTTATTGCACCGATGTTTAGAGTAGCAATAAAAAATAGACCTATATATAATTTTTATGTGTATTCGTTTGTATTTAAAGTGAAATGAATATGTTTGACATTTGGCGAAAATGAGAAGGAATTAAGTTCTAATTAATCTAGTATAATCCAATACTGCAAAAAACAAACCTAATAACTCCAGCAAACGAAATGGATTGAAATGAATTGAAATGGATTCAAATTTTCAGAAATATTGATTCACGAATGTTAAAATAAATGCTTTTCAATCCTGAATGTATTTTTATTCATATATAGGAATTCCATGGAGCATATCTCTATGCCTTTCAATCTAAAAATAATATTAGTTTTTTCTGTGCACAACACATACATTGTGAATACTGTTTAATTCAAAATTTCGAATAGGAAATGCAGTTTTCAATCCAATTGCATCCAATTGAATCTAATTGAATCCAATTAAATCCAAAAAAAAAATATTCGTTTAAAATATGCATTCGGATAGAAAAAAATTTCAATCCATTTTAATCCATTCTCGTTTGCTAGGATGTTTAACATTTGGTGAGAAGAAATTAAGTTCTAGTTAATCTAGTACAATCCAGTATTGCAATGAAAAATAAACCTAATAACGTTTTCCACTAGCCTGCAACACTAAATGCAAGAGTAGAGTACAAATGAGTTTACATATTTCCAGTGTTAATAAATAATTTAATTCTTTTATGGTTACGAGGTTATCGTAACAATAAAGAATTTGTAATTAAAATGATTAAATTATTTATTAACACTGAAAATGTGATTTGCATTCAATTGCACTCAGTGTACGTCAGTATTGCACTAGTTTTCCAAATAGAAAACGCTGAATTTTATAACAACTGAATTTTATAAATATCGAATAGCAACTGAAGTTTATTACTAATTTGTTGCACCTAAAATTCAACGAGATAAATATATAGTAATAAAGTGTTGAAGAAAGAAAAAACGAAGGTTCTGAATAAAAAGTACAACACGAACAGACTTAAAAAATCATCCCAATTCAACGTTGAACTTTCCAGTGATCGTCCGTGGAAAAACCCGACGCACCAATCGTGTAGCCGCGGCCAATCACAACGCAGCTGAACAGGACGCTCCCGGTACACACACGTGGTCGGCTTACGTACGCCGTTTTACGCTATTGCTCCTCTACCAGCAATCGCAGTCGATTGCAGTGCAGGACGGTGATCATCGAGATCCGCGTCAGTATCTAGAAACGCGTTGCAGGACAACAACATCCAGCAAGTCCTGGCAATCGTGCTCAACTGCGCGCCGGTGAAGATCCATTTTCAACGACATCAAGTCGACATTTCCTCGTTCTTGTGTACCCGATATGGCAGATATGCCAGCGAATGTGGGTATCACGCGGAAAATGTCTTTCGGTATCAATGGCAAGCTCAACGGCGTTGAAAGCAAGACACCCTTCCTGATAGGTGTCTCCGGCGGTACTGCAAGTGGAAAGGTACTTATATCTTGCGTAGAATTATTATATTTGAATCATAAGAAAAGAATACATATTGTACATACACTTTAAAAAAAATTGTCCGTAGTCTAATTTTTTAAGCGTTAAAAGATATTGTAGATAGGTATTTAATGAAATAAAATTTCTAGAATATAATGAATATAATTCTTATTTACAATTCCTATGAATATTTCTTATATAAAATTTTAATTTAATTTTATATAGTAGATATGACCAGTTTTACGATCTTAAAAAGAATGTATGTATTCTTAACTGATAATTCTAATTCTGATGGAATTAATTTGTAATATTTATTAAGAATACGACTGATCTTGAGATTGACAGAAGCTTAATGAATTACACAATGAAATATTAGATTAATGAAAGAAGATTAATAAATTAAATTATTTTTCAGAAATTCACAACTTTTTTACTTTCTATTTTTTTATTTCATTTTATATCATTTAATATTCCATAATAACAGATGTTTCAATTACTATTTTAACTTCCATAAACTCATGTTTTTTTAAAGCAACTGTTTGTAAAAGAAAATACTATCTATAATTTGTAGTAGATTTTCTTTATATGATCATAATTTTTGCTTTATTTATTTAATATAAAGATTTATAAGAATGATGAAATCAAGAATATAATCATATATAGTGATAAATTGTATTTTTTTAGTCTACAGTATGCAAGCGTATAATGGAAAAATTAGGACAAGTCGACATGGATCATCAACAGCGTCGGGTAGTCTGTATATCACAAGATAGCTTCTATCGTGACTTGACACCTGCTGAGAAAGTGAAAGCTGAGAAGGGACAGTATAATTTTGATCATCCTGATGCCTTTGATGATGATCTAATCTTACAAACGCTGCAGGATATTCTTGCTGGTGTCAAATGTGAGATACCTGCTTATGATTACAGGACAAACAGTTTGTATGTGTTACTTTAAGATTAAAGTTAAAAATTATCTTTAGATTTATAATTGTTTAAAATTATATTAATTAATCATTATATAACAACTATAAATCTAAAGATAATTTTAAATTATCTTTAGATTTATAGTTGTTGTATAATGCAATGTACATATATATAACATACAATTAATAGCAATACAGTAATTGTAATATAAAATTAAATCAGATCCAGCGAATTAAAAGATGTTTACATATGAAAATCTTAGGCAAATTGCAAAATTATAAACAAAAATTATGAATTTATTTTAGAATGAAAGATCAAGTTACCACAATATATCCTGCGGATGTGGTACTGTTTGAAGGAATACTGGTATTTTATTTTCCCAAAATTCGGGATTTGTTTCACATGAAATTGTTTGTGGATACTGATTCTGATACCAGACTTGCAAGGAGAGGTAATTCCATACATATAATTTCAGTAATCTGAGTATCACTTGTCATACTTGTATCATATTATTATAATGTTGTTGATGTCTTCAGTGCCAAGAGATATAAAAGAACGTGGAAGGGATTTAGATTATGTCCTGAATCAATATATGAACTTTGTAAAACCAGCTTTTGAAGAATTTTGTTTGCCAACAAAAAAGTTTGCAGATGTTATAATACCAAGGGGAGCAGACAACACAGGTAAATATATTATTATATGCATAATAATATTTTTATTGCTATTATAATTATTTGATATCTCTCGCTTAATGTTCATTAGTGGGTTTATTGTTTGTGAATTTAGTGTGTTTGTCAGATATATAAACATTTTTTATCTTTTTTTCTCGATTTTTATATATTGCATTTTATCATAATATTTCATTTAAAAAGATCTCGTGTTTGATTGTGATGATATTAATCAAAATTTATTTTTTCAAGTTTTCCTTCTGATAGATTAATTCAAAATGATACAAATAAGTAAAATATGCTTTGGTACTATAATTGATATTATTACTAGTTACAATAAAATTACAATGAAGATATATGCAAAGCATTCTAGAGCTGCAGTTCTCTTTCTTCTTAAATGTAAACGCCAGAACATGAAATATATAAAAATGAAAAGAAATCATAATTATTTTACAAGGATTAGAAAATTAATCAACTATTAATGAAGTAATTAATAGTTTGATTGTGAATTAAAAATAATTAAGAAAAAGATTTTATAGGATTAAAATTTTAATAGCCAAAATCTGATAGATAATAAAGATTCATTTCTATGAATTATGATTATTGATTCTAATTTTATAATTTGAAAGTTTATAAAAATATTTAATATTGCAAAGTGAAATATATCTTGAATATATAAATATTCTTTCTATCTAAATTTTTAGAATTAAGATAAATTATAATGAACATTCTCGTAAATATTTGATTTAAATCAATTAAAATTATTAAAATATAATTATTAATTATTAAAAAAATCACCCTCTTTACATAATCATTTGTAATAAACAAGATGCTTTCCAATTGCTTAATACATATCTCGATACAAACGTAGCAAATTCACATATTTTCACTATTGATAAATAATTTAACCCTTTTAATTATATATTTAATTACACAATTCTTTATTATTACGATAATTTCAAAACCTTAAAAAAATGGAGTTATTTATTAACACAAAAAATATGTGAATTAATTTGCTACATTTATATCAAGATGTGTTAAACAATTAGAAAACAATTCAAGAATTATAGCGAATAATTAAATATGTATTCAGCAACAGTAATAATATTTATTA